TCAATAAATCCAATGGGAATGCATAGCATTTGTCTCAAAATGGGATATTTGTCGCCATAGAAGAAGTGATAAATGAAGGGATACTTTGTTTTAATAAAATTAGCAATTTTGCTTAAATACAACTCTAATTGGTACCGACACTTCATTTTATAAGATTATTTGATGTCAATTAATATCCAAACAGTTTATGAAGTGTTAACTAAAGATTTTTTAAGTAGTTGTTTGTTTGTAATTGTAAATTGTAAGACAAATTTATGCAGAAATTAACATTGAATTTAAATTACTCTAAAAGTTAATTATTAAAAATACGCGCTTTTTGAGATTAATTAGAAATAATATTCTCGAATATTCTGTATAAATGGTTTTGTAATTTACATATTGTTAACACATTTTGTGATTCATTGAAAGGTATTTAATAAATACTATTTATTGTAATAATTCTGTGTATTTCTAAATTGAAAGTAAAGTCAAAACTGTATAAAAGTGTGAAAGAATTGATTACTTGTTGACTGCCATACATATGATATGAACTACAGATTCTGAACCACAGAATCAATGTCTCGCTATTTAGGACTTAATTTCTATAAACTCGCCACAAATGGCAGTCATATTAATGTCATTATTCAAGACATTAATGTACGACGAATTGGCAATCAGATGACTGATCACTTGATGCCTAAAGAGGTGGTGACTATCACTTTGACAGATAATAACGACTTCGATGACTGTTTTGAGCAACAATTAGATGACCCGATATTTATCGACTTAGAAGATGACAAACAATTCAGGGATCAAATCTGTGAAGACATTAATTTTGACAAATGTCTCGCAATCGCATCCACGTCTTCAGCCCCACATCTGAGACCACAAACTACTGGCGCTATTAAGAGACCAATGAGTGGTAATTCTGAAGACTCTTCGAACAAAAGAAGTCATTCGAGTGAACCGTTTGTTCAGATCATAACAAATGAAAGTCAACCGAAAGGAAGTGCTTTTAAAAGACGTGTTGATGTGATAGGACTTCGACAGAGACTCGTTCATTGGCAGAGGAAAGACTACTTGACAGTCGCTGATGCATACCGTTCCCCACATAACAGGCCTTCGGTTGACTCGAAATGTTTGGCCACAATTGAGACCAACCGACAGATTAGTAGTGAAACTAATTTCTTTAATTTGTTTTCTAATTTTAATAAAAATCAGTAGTTTTTGTGTTTTAAGTTTGAAATGTAATATGAAATGTGTTATTAATTTCTAATGAATTCTATATTATATGTTTGTATGTGTGTTTGTTTTTAAATTTAGTTTTTAATTTAAATGTATTTGTATTATTTTTATTGAATTTCTTATAAATACTGTAAAATAATATATTTAAATTATCTTAATCAAAAACAGTATTAATCTCATTCTATTGATATATTTAATTATTGAAATTGGTGTTTGAAATACTGTATTACAGTTGACCACAACTTTCACTTAAAAATTTATATTTTCCAAATCTCTAATGTTTGAAACACTACTTGTTTTATTGACAAAACTTAGTTAAATTAACTTTTTAAATTACAAATAGCTACAGGATTAAAATTTCTATACATTTTGTACACGATATACTGTACATGGCTTGTTGTGGTATAATAGTGAGATTTTTATTATTTTATATAATTTTATCAATTTTGATAGCATTGTGTAATTTATGGTCAAATAGATTGCATAACAATGTGTTTGCGGTCATCACGTGAACCGACTGACAAAAAGACTTCATTTGAATCCATGGCTTTTAAACAACAAATTGAGACAATACTGACCGGTGGGAAAGTAGCGGCCCAGTGTGAGGGACCGGTAGTATGTGATTATTCTGTGGAACAGCACCTCAAAGATTCCGGTATTAAATAAATATAAAAATATAAACAAAAATTAAATACTTGGCATAAAATTTTGAATTTGTTTGAAATCATAAGAAATGGCATACAATGAGAGCAATGCATTCAAACCTGTGGTCAAAAAGACTGTGACTTATATAGTAATCGCCGTTATATTCAACACCGAGAATGAAGTCCTAATGATTCAGGAAAGTAAGAGTAGTTGTCGGGGGAAGTGGTGTTTCCCGATGGGGAGAGTCGAGGCCAATGAACAGCTCGTGGACGCCGTCCGCAGAGAGACTCTCGAGGAATCGGGTCTTGAGATCCAACCGACGGCTCTGGTTATTGTCGATCACTCGACTCACCATTGGTTTCGGTTTGCATTTGCGGGTCAAGTGATTGGCGGTCAGCTCAAGACCAAAGAGGACAAGGAGTCTATCAGAGCTCTTTGGTATTCAGATAAGGCTTTCCAGGAATTAAGTCCTTTGCATATACGGGGAAACAAAAATAGTTTTGTAGCTATGATTCAATTGACTCGAAATCACAATTCTGTGCACAATTTTGTCAATAGTTTGCGATTACCTGTCATTCGAGCCCACAATCAGATGCTCTTACGGATCGTGTTTGTAGTCCACAGCAAACAAAAGTAGTTTTTAGCGATTTTTAATTACTTTATGCCAATATTAATGAATATAATTATTTTTAGTGAAAAGCACTTTATTCTGGTGTCTAAAGCACCGACACCTCATCTGCCGGTTTGTGAGCTATTCAGTGAGACTTTTATTTCTGAGACAATTGAACTGTTTTTAGAGGTATTTGTCATTTAATGGTCAATATTGCGATAAATTTAAGATAATTATAATTATATTTATTTTTTGTAGAAAGTCTTCAAATCACACAAAATGTCAGAATTCGTGTCAATAATAGGTTTGCTTCGAGTGGAGCACAACGGCGTTCCCGAGGGCTGGCGTTTGTGCGCCCGTATACACGATGGCATTTGTCTCACACTACTGGCCAACAGTCCGGTGCTCTATGAGGACGTCCCCGTCATTGCACCCGAATCTGGCTATACATTGGTTGAGTTGATGCCACCGATGGTAAGACATCTCAACGGTTTACTGCACCAACACTTCCAGACAATTACCTTTCGATCCACACATTGATCTCAACTTTGATTTTGCGAATTGAGTCCACATTTCATTGATTTAAAAATCTATTCAATTTGTTAATAATTATTTGTTTTTAAGTTAAACTATTTTTTACACTTATTTGGATATTTAATGTTTTTAAATGTTTAATTGTTTTTAATATAAATGTAGAATTTCTACAATACATGTAAGTACAGTACTTGAATGTTTATAACATTTTTACTGTTTCACTTGTGTTCAGAATTAATAAAATTTTTTGTATTCATTTCCTTATCTAATCTCTACAAGTGTAAAATGCAAAAACTTTTGAAATTCATATAAATTAATTAACGTATAAATATATTTTGGATTTAAATATGATAGCAAATATCCATATTCTTTAAAATAATATTTTTTAATAAAAATTCATATTAGTTAATACAGAATATTCTTTATAAATGTCTATACAAAGAATTAATTATACATTAAAATTATAAAAATAGTGCAAAAATATCAAAAATAGTAGTTTTTAAAAGAATATTCTCTAAAATGACTCAAATATGGTATGAGTTAACAAAATGTTAACGGGGTATATACAGAAAGGCAATAGTCTTGATGTTTTGGTTGACTAATTCATTGAGTCTTTGCTCCATAGTTGACATCAACTGAACAAATGTATAATTAGAGTCGATAGGAATGGCAGGCATATCCTCACAGGGCACCGGACAGTGGACCAAAATAGTGAAACAAATGCCTTCGTGTGAACCCATGGGAACTCCGTTGTGTTCAACTCGAAGCAAACCCATTGATGAGAATTGTAGCGATTTGTTGGACACAAATATTTTCTATAAAAATAGTAACTTTTTGCAATACTATAAAATCATTGAATTATCAATCAATATATGAGATAAATACCTGTAATAATCGTACAATTGTCTCAAAAATAGGAATCTCTCGGTTTATCTCACAGACAGGCAGGTGAGGGGTCGGCGCTTTTGAGACCAGATACTGATGTTTTGAACTAAAATATCATAATTCATTAATATTAACACAAATCTAAAACATACAAAAAGCTAACTTTTGTCCGCTTTTGACCAAAAACATAATTCTTATGATTATCTGATTGTGGGGTCGAATGACTGGTAATTTCAAGCTATTGCCAGAAATCTGTACCGAATTATAATTGCGGACCAAATCAATCACATATTTAGTGAACTCTTTATCTCTGCGAAGATCTCTATCATCCAAATCCTTATCGGAAAACCATTGGGCTTTCATCGACTCCTCGTCCTCATCGGTCTTAATCTGACCGCCAATCACACGACCCGTAAACGTAAACCTAAACCAATGTCCGACAGAGTGCTCGACCACTACCAGAGCCGTCGGTTGGATCCTAAGACCCGATTCCTCGAGTGTTTCTCTGGTGACGGCGTCCACCAACTGCTCGTTGGGCTCAACCTTTCCGGACGGCAAACACCACATCCCTCGGCACCTCCTCTTCCTCTCCTGAATCATAAGCACCTCATTCTTGTCATTGAATACAACGGCCGCCACCTTATAAAACACCGTCTCTTTCACTATCAGTTTGGACGCATCGCTCCTATTGTATGGCATTCCTTAAGATTGCAAGTAATTTGTCATTTATTTTACATCAAGGTATTATATTTTATATCATATGTAAGGGTCAATAAATTTTTGCTTTTGAGATAATACTTAAATCCTTGAATTGTTGTTCCACAGAATAATCGCAGACTACCGGCCCCTCATTCTTGGTGTCAACTGTCCCACCGGTCAGTATTGTCTCAATTTGTTTCTCAATAGCCATGGATTCAAATGAAGGCTTTCTATGAGTCGGTTTACGCGATGACCGGAAACACATTGTTATGCAATCTATAAGTCAATATATTTAATTACATAATGGAGTCAAAATTAATACTTTTATATTTTTATAATTATCTCTCACCGAAAATACCACAACAAGACATGTTATTAAATACTAATATTAAATGTGACAGTACTATTTTAATATTTATTACTATAGTAACTATAGTATCATAGTTATTAGTAGACAAACTGAATAATTATTATAATAAAAACAGGAAATGATTCACACATTAGAGTATATGAGAAATGTACTTTTAAAGTAGCTTCTCATTAATTGATAAGAATATAAAAATTAATCATTTCTATACAATTAATATACAGTTCATTTCTATTTTCATATCGATAAGCTACTTTAAATATTACACACCTATTCAATGAATACAGTATTCAATACTAAATTCCGGGTTTTGTGAAATAGTTTAACATTTGAACGTATAATAAAACTTTTATTATAAAAGTCTCGCAACTAACAAAACATTTGGTATTATTGTTAATTCATTTGTAATGAAAAATAGATTTCTTATTCTAAGTTAGTGTCCTTATCTTATAAATTATAAGTTATAATTATAGTTTCTTATAAAAATTTAATTATAACAAAGTACATGATACATGAATAACAAAGTATATAGTTTAAACAAACTTTTAAGTAAATAAATAATGAATTTAATGCAATATTAGAATAAAATTATATTTACTTTTATTATAATCAGAAAATATTTTGAAAATATTTCACAATTAAACGATCTGTTTATCTGAATTATGGCCAAACCATTAGAGTTAGAACCAAGTAATCTCATCAGTGTGACCACCATTGGATCAATTGTGTCTCAGGATTATTCACACAATTCATTACCAGTGACTTCAGGGCTGGACTCAATTCAAGCAATTTGTATGGAGATGGCATGGGAACGGTATCATCAAATGGTTTCCCGTTTACCACTAATACAGTAAAACATATGCCGTCGTGAGAGTGTTTGGGAACTCCGTTGTGTTCAACCGATAACACACCTAATGGCTGGTAGTCAGCAGTGAAATTCTGTCCCAATATTCTCTATGAAAGCCAGACATCAGACATATAAGTCTATCAAATATTTATCAGTCAAACAAACCTTAAGGAACGAACTAAGAGTTACTCTCAAACTGTTTTGCGGATCCATTTCACAGACTGGCAAATGAGGGGTCGGGCGCGAAGAGAACAGTATTAATTGCCTTTTGCTGTAAAATACACATTCATTCATGTATTTCACAAAAATTGTTTTATAAAACATAAGGAATTTAATTTAATAAAAACAAACTCTGATTTCCTACTGACAGTCAATACAACTCTTAAAAGCATCTCATTGTGAGCTCTAATGGCAGTGAGTCTTGAGTTATGCGAAGTATTAACCGATTTGTGATAATTTCGGACACAATGTATCAAATCCAAGATATCTTCAAAGCGAAGATTAGCTGATTGTAACTCATTTTCGGACCACCACTTGGCCTGAATTGACTCCTTGTCCTCAACAGTCTTCAGTTGACCACCGATGACACGTCCAGTATATGTAAACCTATACCAAGCGCTCCCTTCACTCTCAATGACCACCAAAGCTGTCGTTTCGATCTCAAGACCCGATTCTTCGAGTACTTCCCTCTTAGAGCCATCCATGAGCTGTTCGTTTGACTCTATTCGACCCAAAGGGAGATACCATTTGCCACGACATGAGGCCTTTGACTCCTGAATCAACAGCACATCCATGTCCTCATTGAAGATAACGGCGCCCCCGATATAACCAACAGTTTGCTTAACTATCGGTATAAAGGGTTCCGTTTCAGACACGACTCGTTTGCAACAAAAACACAAATATTTTAATACTATATTAAAATGCAATGTAATGTCACTATTCGTTAAAATAGGTTTGACTTTAATTATGATTTTAAACTCACTGTAATTGATACATGATTTCTTACTAGTAATCTGTTGATCACTGACAGTATAATCGCAAATAACTGGTATATCTTGTGGTAAACCCTGTCCCTTAAGAATAGTCTCAATTTGAGACTCTATTGAATTCATATTATATATAAATTCTTGATTCTGTATTTTTTGCTTAAGAACTTATTGTTCAATATATGTGTCTCACTTCGGACATCATTGCAAAAATAATTAATACAAAACACAGAATAAAACTATTAATGAACTAATTTGTTAGTTACCAACGAGTAACATTATTAAATGAGTGATTCAAAAAGTATTTATCAATACATAAATTCTCGTTCAATAATTCAAAAGCTTTTATAGAAGAATATTATGGATTATATTATATAATTTATATCTTATTAATAGAGATTTAAATAAAATAACTATTATAAATTATACAATTTTATTATAATTTAAGTATTTTCTAAATTAAAAATTAAACAAAAATTATCTTATATTTAATCATCAGTAAATTAACATTATTTAATCAAGATTAACAAATTTATAAATATTTAAAGTTTGAGTGAATGATAAGTTTAATGATAAATACAGTATTTCACGGCAATCCCATCAATAAGCCCACAATTGAATCAATTCTGTCTCCGGATTATTCACACATTTCATTACCAATGACTCGAGAGGTGGACTCAATTCAAGCCACGTATATGGAGATGGCATGGGAACGGTATCATCACATGGTTTCCCTTTTACCACTAATACAGTAAGACATAGACCGTCGTGACAGTGTTTGGGAACTCCGTTGTGTTCAACCGATAGCACACCAAATGGCTGATAGTCAGCAGTGATATCCCTTCCAAGTATTTTCTATAAAAATGATTATAACTTATCATATTATATATTGAAACTATTAATCAATTTATGAAACCTTTAGGAACTTTAAAAGAGTTACTCCTAAACTGTTTTGCGGATCCATTTCACAGACTGGCAAATGAGGGGTCGGGCGCTCAGAGATCACTATTAATTGTCTTTTGCTATAAATATACCATTCATTTATAGAAATTTCCAATTCATTTATAAACTATGTCCTCATTGAAGATAACGGCGCCCCCGATATAACCAACAGTTTGCTTGACAATCGGTTTAATGGGTTCCGCTTCGGACACTTCTTTGAAACAAAGATTTAATAATTGTTTAATACAATACAATACAATATTGACGATTAGTTTATTATTTATATAACTTTTAAATACCATATAATAAATACCGTATTTATTTGTCCGTCGATTGAAAACATAGTCACAAATAACTGGTAAATCTTGGGGTAAATTCTGGCCCTTAAGTATAGCCGCAATTTGAGACTCTATTGAATTCATATTAGATCCAAATTTCTGGTTATGTTTTAATTGAGAAAAACAATTATTTCCCATTTTATTTGATTAACAAAACATTAAGAGATACAGTAGTTATCAAAATAAATGAAACAAAACACTGAATGAAATATTAGACTTAAAATTTGATAAAATTCTATGGTTTCCAATGATACTAAACACAACTATTATATCACAAAAATTGATATTTCGATAATAAATGATTATTAAACAAATATAAAGTATTTTGAATATACAATTTAAATATATAAAGGTAAATTAAATTTATAGGAATTTTTGTTATATTTTTACTTTGCTTTAAAAATAGTTTATATTTGATAGATAATATTTTAAATTAAAAATCATAATTATTAAATATTTAAATAAATTTTCAAATAAGTCTAAAACTGTTTTTTACGCATAAATATAATTAAATCCAAAAATACTTCTCCATTGAATTAACTCTGTGTTAGGATTGTCGAGACAACGGGTGAGCAGTGCGTACAGTGATCGACTCATTTGCATCCATTCATAATCACCAGTAATTGGGTTCATATCTTCATACGGCATCCGACTCTTGGCTAAGACAGTGATACAGAGGCCGTCGTGGGGTGAGTCCTGTGGACTTTGGGGAACTCCGTTGTGTTCAACTGACAACACACCCTCGAGTTTGTCAATCAGGTATTCAGTGATAAATATTTGCTACAATAAACATATTTTAATTGATTTCTCATTGTATCAATTAATACAACCTCAAGAAAGCCATTGACAATTTCTTTTAAATTCATTTTCTTAGTGATCGCACATACAGGTAGTTGAGGGGACGGCACTTTTTTGATCAGTACGTATCGACTGTTGCTATACACGTGCAGAGATTATAAATTTATAATTAAATTAGATTTTAATAATGAATTGCTTGATAAATAAGAAATCTAAAAAATACTTTTCTTTAGTGACAGTGAATACCACTCTTAATAACATCCTATTGTGGGCCTCAATGGCAATGAATCGTGAGATATGACACGAAATCTCTGCCAGAGATGTGTTATGATTGCGGACAACACTTATGACATCCAAAATGTCGTCGTATCGCAGATTCAATGAACTCATGTCACTCTCAGACCACCACTTGGCCTCAATTGACTCACTGTCCTCAACAGTCTTTAGTTGACCACCGATGACACGGCCAGAGTATATGAAATTAAATATATTGCCGATGCTCTCAATCATAACTAAATCTACCGGCGCCATCTCAAAACCGGACTCTTCGAGCACTTCCCTCCTAATGGTGTCTATTATCTGCTCATTCGGGT